TTTTAAGGGTCAAAAATAATATGGTTCAAACATTTGACGGTCACACTTTTTTAAGGGTCAGAAATTTTTAGGGTCAAAATCCAAAATCTTAGGGTCAGAAGCCTTAAGGGTCACAACATATTGAGTCCGCAATCCCAACTATCCACTCTCCACAAATTGTAGAGAGTGGAGAGTAGCCCCCACCAAGCATCCGACCCCAACTCTCTACTCTCTAGAAAAAGTAGATAGTAGAGTTGGCCTCATTTTAAGGGTAAAAATAATTTTTATTTTTATTTTTTCTATTCCATTGGTTTCATCGAAGTAGTTCTCGATTTGAAACCCCTCCTCTAGCCTGCCTCCCCTCCTTTACTTCTCCTCTCATTGTTATCTGCGGTATCACGGCCGTCTTAGCTGTGCCCCATTCGAGCTAGGACTGCACGGGAAACCATGTAAAACCCCAGTCGCACTGCCGGCCGATTGTGGAGTGCCCTAATGTATCCACCTGTCACACTGACTAGATGGAGACACTAGGCCGTTACACCGTGCCTGCCGCCCGTAATTTTTGTGCGAGCGAGGTGTTCCTAAGCGGTCACCCATCCAAGTACTAACCCAGCTCAACGCTGCTTAGCTTGGATGTCCGCCGGAGCAACACCTCACCCACCTAACCATTACAGTCAGCATATCAAAACTATATATATACGAAATTTAAGCTCAATCGATTGAAAAATGAGGCACTTGAACTGTTTTGAAGGTTCAAACCATTTTCCATCCGTTTTGACCCCTTCTACGTGGCGAAAATCTCCGGTGGCGGCTTCAATATTACTTTTTATTGACCCCCAATAAGTGCCAAAAGCTTTAAGCTTAGTCCTATTAAAATCCGGGGATTTTCAAATTTCACCACGGTCTCCCCTTAAAAACCAAACAAAAAAATTAAAATACAAATTAAAAAATTTTTTCCAATTACTGAAAATGCAATAATTTAAATGAAATCAGTTGATATGTCGTAGTTGATACATCGTAGTTAAAAAGTCGCCTAGTTGAGAAGACGTCCTGCTAGAAATAAACTTATACCGTTTGATATGAGTGTTTAAAACGGTGATGCCAGATGAGGGCAAAAATCCCACGCGTGGGATTTTCGTGCGCAGCTCTCCAGCGCATGGGATATTCGTGCGCAACTCTGCCGCGCACCCACTGCCACTGGGCATACACAACTCCCGCAGTTGAAACCCGGCAAATTTTATGTCAGAAATAATCTTTCGAACCGCAAATAAATGAATATGACGTATCAAAAATTGAAAGACAATTTTTACAGGATTTTACGTGTTAATTTATCGATTAATGGTCCTTATTCCTGATTTATTGGAATCCACTTAAGATCTACAAACTTGAAATCGTCTTTCAACTCATCAGATTTCTCAAATTTTAAGGATATTAACATGTTTGAACGTTGCATTTCCTTGTGACCCTATATTAACTTAACGTCAAACTTCATGCGGATCACAAGGCAATGGTAAAATTTCACGAGGGTCACACGGGAATGGTTAAATTTCACGAAAGTTGAATGCTACGAGGGTCAAATTATCATAAGGATCACGAAGATCACGAGGAGAAGGTCAAATTTCACGAGGGTTAAGCTTCACAAGGGTCACAAGGAGATGATCAAATTTCACGAGGGGCACAAGGGAATGATTAAATTTCACAAAGGTTGAATGTTACAATGGTCAAACTTCACGAAGGTCACTAAGGAATGGCTTCAAGAATCAAACTTCAAGAAGGTCAAACATCACGAGGATCACAAGGGAAAGTCAAATTTCACGAGAGTGACGAGGAGATGGTCAAATTTCATGAGGGTCACAAGGGAAAGTCAAATTTCACGAGGGTCACGAGGAGATGGTCAAATTTTACGAGGGTCACGAAGGTTAAAAGGGGAAGATCACATTTCAGGAGGTTCAACGTTACGAGTTCATGAGGGTCACAAGAGAGTGGTCAAATTTCGCAAGGGTCAAACTTCACGAGTGTCACAAGGAGATGATCAAATGTCCCGAGGATCAGACATTACGAAAGTCACAAGGGAATGATTAAATTGCCCAAAGGTTGAATATTGCAATGGTCAAACTCCACGAAGGTTAAACATCACGCGGGTCACAAGCGGAAAGTCAAATTTGATGAGGTCACGGGGGTCACGAGGAGATGGCCAAATTTCACCCGGGTTCAGACATTACGCGAGTCGCAAGGGGAAGATCATGTTTCACGAGGGTCACAAGGGATTGGTCAAATTTCACCAGGGTCACGAAGGTCACAACGAAAACATCACATTTCACGAGGGCCAAATAGTCCATAGGCTAGCCCTGTTTCTGTATGCACTACGAAATTAGGTAAATGCTTAATTGTTGTACCATTATATCATGGGAACGGTTGCGGATAGGGAAAGAGGTTTCAAACAAAATCTGGTTGTCATGTCAAAATACACCTTCTTTGTCTTGAAACATTTTTCCCTAACTACTATATAGATAAAGAGTTATGTGGGGTGGGAGTGGAGCGGGCGGCGCGTTAGCCTGCGATGTGTCAGGGCGCTCCGATGCGTATTTCGGCAAACTCGATAGAAATGGAGAAAAATTGTTCAGATAAAAAATGTTCGCCATCATATTTTACATACAAATATGTTTTTTAAATTGTTCTCTATACCTAGCCGTTAATGGAAAATTTACGCTCTTTTGCTGCATTATGAGGCAAATTACATCCAACGTTTTTGTTTAATCTNGAGAAAAATTGTTCAGATAAAAAATGTTCGCCATCATATTTTACATACAAATATGTTTTTTAAATTGTTCTCTATACCTAGCCGTTAATGGAAAATTTACGCTCTTTTGCTGCATTATGAGGCAAATTACATCCAACGTTTTTGTTTAATCTCGTTTCGTGAGTAAATGGTTCAAGATACGGAAAAAAATTTAGCATCAAACTAGTTCACTCATAAAAAATACATAGACTTAATATTGTGTCGTTTTGTCATATCTCCATTATTTGCAGAGATATAGCCCGTTAAGTGAGAGCGCGGGCGGTCCACGCGCTTACCGCCGACACCTCGCGTAGGGGCTAATGCACCGCCCGCTTCACTCCCACCCCCGATTACTCGTTATCATAGTTAGGGAACAAAATTATACAACAAAAAATGTGTATTTTTATATTTTCTAAATTTTTTGTTCGAAACTTTGTTATCTATCTGTAACCATTTCCGGGATATGATGGTTTAAACATTGAATTGTTATAAATAAGAAAACTTGACCACAACTTGCAAAACTCGACTTCGGATTCAGATTCAACATCACCGGCAACGTAAATTCCAATAACAACATTTATTCAATTCGGTTGTGCATAGAGAAACAGGGCGTAGGAATTATTTGATCCTCGTGAAATTTGACCATCTCCGCGAGACCCTCGTGACGTTTGACTCTCGTGAAATTTGACCATCCTTTTGTGATCCTTGTGACATTTGACTATCCCCTTGTGACCCTCGCAACGTTTGACTCTCATGAAATTTGGCTATCCCCTTGTGACCGTTGCGATGTTTGACTCCCGTGAAATTTGACCACACTTTTGTGACCCCTGTGACCCTTGTGAAATTTGACTATCCCCTTGTGACCCTCGCGGCGTTGACTCTCGTCAAATTTGACTACCTCCTTGTGACCCTCGCGATGTTTGACTCATGTGACATTTGACCATCCCTTTGTGACCTTTGTGAAATTTGACTATCCCCTTGTGACCCTCGTGACATTTCACTCCCGTGAAATTGGACTACCCCTTTGTGACCCTCGTGACGTTTGACTCTCGTGAAATTTGACCATCCTTTTGTGACCCTTGTGACCCTCGAGATGTTTGACTCTTGTGGAGTTTGACCATTGCAACATTCAACCTCCGTAAAATTTCATCATTCTCTTGTAACACTTGTGACGTTAGACAGTTGCGAAATTTGACCCTTGTGACATTTAACCCTTGTTCCATTGACCACGAGAAGTTCGATCATTACATCGTCTAATATTTATTAACTTTACTTTAAACATTCATTCCTTCTCAATATCCATTGAAGCAAGTGGAATAAAAAGTTATGCCATTGTCGATGGAATTCAAACGATTTAAACGGAGCGGCAGGCGTTCGGCGCCCTAAAGGCTGCGCAGTGGTACTCGAGCGAGGATTGGGGGACCTGTGGGACTCGCGTCCGGCATCACTGGTTTAAAAACTAGTTTTACGTGTCTTAAAACTAGGTCTTTGACGCTACGCCATGTTTTGTATTTTTCATTTTTTGGTCACCGATTTTCTGAATTAAAGGGAAACCGCGGTAAAATTTTTGTTACAGGTAGGGTCTTGTTAAGCGGATTGCGATATACGATGGGATATATTGAAAAGTCGAAAAAATCATGACAATAGTCGATTTTACCCCGTGAATCAACGAAAGGCAACGTTATTAATTTTTACATTAAAAATCTTTCAAGTCCCTAAATTTTTATCTGATTGGAATTTTTTATCGTTGAAAATATTCGTTAAACTCCACAAAAAAGGTATGTACCCATTTTACGATTCATTGGATAGATCATAGTGGAAGAAACTTGTTTTTATCATGAGAATAAAATCTATTCTATTCAATAGATAAAGGAAAGAAGAAAATTATACGTCATGTAATTTAAAAAATTAAGATCTACACCTTTTTTAAATTCATCATTATAGGCATCTAGGGATAAAAAGTGATATTCAAAACATTCCAATTTGTAGGGAATCCCCAACACTTTCCTAAAAAAAATCTGCCAGTTGCTGAAGCGCCAATACTTTACGACCTTTAGTATAGTCAATTAGGACATCGGCAACGGTGACTATCTGCGATACTAGATCATTTGCAAAATCTAGTGTGCAGTTTGTTGAAAAATTCTGTAATAAATGATGTACGATCCATGATCGGTCAAAATCCAGGCTCGGAATATAAAAAATAAAAATCTGCAGTGAAACTCACAATTGATCAACTCTCTGATTTATTTCTATTATTATTCATTAAAATTTATTAGAATTATCTAATTTCCAGTTTTATTGTTGAATTTTTACTTGCAGAAATGAACTTTCATGTCTTGAAAAAAAGGCTGAGAAAGAATGGAACGAACGATTCGGTCATCTCGCAAACGAAAACTTCCAAAAAGTAACAATATCATAATCTAAATAGGGTGAGCAGCCCAATCATTGAACTCTTAAGTGGTAACGTATTCCTTGCATGTGTTGAATCTTAGAATCATCGTCATGACCATAGTTACTAATTACAGATACACACACATTTCCTAAAAAGATCAGATCTTGACACTTTACGCCGTTCCCAGGAAAAATTAGAAGATCGTCAAAATCAACGCTTACAGATGTATCATATGTATCGTATGATATTTTATGGTGATTGTGAGAAAAAAACTGTTCTTTGCGCGCGAAGACTGCCAAAAATTGCCTTTTTTTCACCTGTATCATGAAATTAAAATTGTGTCTGAAAGCGCTATTACGGAATACTTTTCAACATTGCACTACCGTACTGTTCTGTTAATTGCGCGAGGGGGGGGGGAGTTCTGCAATAGGACTGCTCACTCTACAATATCAAATTCCCGTGCGATAATTCAATTTTTACACTTCATTTGCTGTTTCAGATATTTTCGGAAAAATGTAAAAACTTCAAGCTCCCCTCTAAAGACAAAAATTTATTTGAAAATTTAGATAATAAGAGGATGATTACTCTGATATCCTCATCCGACATTCCAAAAACGAGTTCTGCTATTATTGGCTGGCGATCATCTTCGACTGACTGCAACTTGGAATTACTGGGAAAACTGTATATTTCTCCTCGTTTCACAATAGAGCCACCAGCACTACCCGGGGAATTCAGGATTACAGGACAAAAGTTCATTTCCTTAGGATGATTTAAAAATAATATTTACAGATAATTAAAGATTCATGAAGAAGCGAAAGACTTTTGTTTCAATGCTGGTGGCAATTTCTCAGTGAACGAGATAGGGTTCACTTCTACTGCAATTAACTCTCCATTTTTCAGCCATTCCAGATGTACAAGGTGCTGTTAAAAAAGAAAAAATACATTGCTACAAATGGAAAATTGAGAATTTAATTTGACTTAGTAGTGAAGTAATTTTCACGTCATATAGTGTATTCGTATACAAATAAGTTGTAGGACACTTCGATTCCGTGTCATGAAAGTAATTCAAAGTTACCGCTAACATATGATATAGTGGGGTTTGTTCTGTAATATCAAAACATAAGGGAGTCATAAACATAACCTTAAACTCTGTGAAAAGGAACATGCAGACCGATAACCTATTTATTAGACACTGCATTCGCTATGAATTCCATCAAGGAAAAACTGTTAGGAAAGCATGTCAATCGATTTGTTCTGCTCTTGGAGACAACATTGTATCTAAAAGTACATGTGAGTATTGGTATAAGCGATTTAAAGAAGGTAATTTCGACGTTAGTGACCGTGAACATACCGGGGCCCCTGTAAGGATGGATGACCAGGAACTGCAAGCATTGCTGGATGAAAACTCTTGCCAGACGGAAAAACAACTTGCAAAACAGCATGGAGTAACTCAACAGACAGTTTCCTATCGCTTAAACGCAATGGGAAAGATTCGAAAATGAACAAAGTGGGTGCCACGTTTTTTGACTCAAGAAAATAAAGATAGCCGACTTGACATGTCTGAATCTTTACAATAAGCAACATAGAAAGTCTTTTTTGTGGAAAATTGTGACCGGCGATGAAAAGTGGATTTATTTTGATAATCCAAAACGTAAATATCATTGGGTTAACCCAGGCGAGCCGACGACATCGACATGCTGTGTATATGGTGGGATATGAAAGGCGTACTGCATTATGAACTTTTGAAGTCTGGCGAGACAGTTACTGCTGATCGCTATCGTCAACAATTAATAAGATTGAACCATGAAATAGAACAAAAACGTCCATTTACTGGTAAAGAAAAACGTCCAGTAAAATTGCTCCACGACAATGCCAGGCCTCATGTGGGTAAACCGGTAGATATCCAAGATACGTTAATGGCTCTTGGATGGGAAGTTGTGCCACACCCGGCGTATTTACCAGACTTAGCTCCAACTGATTTTCACTTGTTTCGGAAGATGCAAAACGAATTGACTGATGTGCGATTCAAAATATTTGAAGTGCAAAAATGGGTCGATAATTTCCTCGCCTCGGTAATTTCCTCGCCAAGATGAAACTTTCTTTGCGGAAGGCATCCGTGAATTACCTAACAGATGGCTCAAGGTCATTCAAAATGATGGAGATTATTTTGATGAATAAATGTAGTTTACTTTTTTTCGAAAATGAATTTTAAATTTTATGCAAAGTGTCCTAAAACTTAGTTGTACACCCAATATATCTTGGAAGGGGAGAAGGTTACCGTCAATGTCCCAGTTAATGTAACTAGAAGCGTTTCGCATCATCAGCAAGGTTCAAATAATTATATTGTTTTCATATTGCGCGAAATCAACGCACCAAATACATCGTTGGTACTTTTTTCTATCATTTCGGATTAATATTCCTCTGAATGAAAGATTGAATAAATTAATATTTTAAAAATAGAAAACCTCCGCCATGTGCCAGTATCTGCCACTTGGGAAGGCCATGTTTCAATTATCATGAATCTTCGATGCCAGTTGATACCTGGTGGAAAAATAACCCACAGCAGTGATATTAGCGAATGATAATTCTCAAAATGACATTAGATCTTTTTTAAAATGCAAAATCAATCGAAAAATGGTATATGTATCCAGCCATTTTGAATGTTTATACAAGATTCCCATTGCAAGATAATTGAATATTGAAATTGTGCATCCATTAAAAAATCGCTGTGTAGCAGAAACTGAAAAAGTGGTACAGTGGTGGTAGGGCATCGAGGGCACAAAGAAACCTTGAGTCTACTACTAATAGAATCTACTAATTTCAACGATATTTGCAAAGTAATCTACAAAATTTTCAAATTAGTTTTCCTGTTCAAAGCCAGAATGATGCATTAATAAAATTCCAACTTTGAAAAACTAATATAATTACCTTATATTTTTTAATCACTTGAAAGACATATTGCCCCTGAGAACTCGATGTAGAATTACTATCCTCCTCATTGTTCACAGTTTTTGCTATTTTGGTACCTCCGTCGGAGAATCGATTCTTTTGAACAACGTAAACAGTAGTATCATCGTGTAGAATAATGACATTTTGGTCATTAGGATTAAATGTTATGTTGACAATAGGGAAAGATCGTGTCAGCCAGTGATTTGGTATACGAGTCTGCAAGTTATTCGAGAATTCTGTGTACTGACGTCTGGATAAATTGTACTCCACAATCTGTAACAAAAAATGATAATTTATCATCGTTGAACGATAGTAAAATGATTCCCGTTTAAAGGAAGGCAATTCAATGTCAGGAAAAAATATGAGAAAAAATATGGAGAAAAAGAGGGTTTTAAGACAAAACTTTCCCCTAGAAACGCCTCTGAATTCTCAGAATATTTTACGAACTCCAAAGAGAAAAAAAGTGGATTTGCTTTAGAAAAAAGTTTCTAAATTTTAGAAACCGTGGTTTCGAATTTTTACTTTTCTAAAATCTACGAATTTTTTTGTAAGTTTTAGAAAAAAAATCGTTTAAAATTAATGATCAAAATTGGGATTAATTTTAAACCAAAATATACTTCATTTTTTTAAAAATATTTTCTAAAATCTAGAAATTTTTTTCAATTGTTTTGAGGGGAAGGAGGGTTTATAAAAAAGAGACTTCATGTATAAGGGGTTATGCATGGGGATAATGATATCCGGGGGGGGGTTCTCATATACGGGGAGATTTCATTGAATGGTGGTTTCATCAATGAGGAGAGAGTTTCACATGAGCGGGTCTAGGTGCGGGGCAGGGCGTAAAAGGACGGATTTATATGGGGAGTCATATATGGGGGGGAGGGGGTTGAACAGGAGGTTTCGCAAGGCGAGGGGTTTTGTAAAGAGAGTTTTGTATATCGAAAAACCAATGCGACTCCCCCCCCCCCCTCCCTCCTGTAGACGACTTTGTTCATCGGTGAGTTTTTCAAGGATGTGTCGGAAACTAAGGGAGATAGCAAATTTTTACTGACAAATTGGGAGGAGGGAGGGTTTTCAATTTTTTGATTGAGAATTCTCAATGCACAACCAACCCCCCTCTCCTCCACCGCCAATTTTTCAGTAAAAGTTCGCAATCTCCCTTAGTGTCGGAGATATCCTCAAAAAACTCACCGACGAGCTAGGACTGTACATCGAGAATTCAATACAACCCGTGTATAAAACCCCCCTTATATATAACTCCCCCCTCCACATATCTACGTCCCCTAAGAGCAAAACGTATCTCGAAGAAATCTGTAGGAAAGATGTAACTCAAGTTCTTGTTCTTAAAAAATCGTATTTCAATCTTCCTCTCCAGAAATCAAGTATCTCAGGCCGAAGTTTAGAATCCACGTATCTCGCTGAGAATTAAAAAAGAAGTAACTCACAAAACGCTGATCAATACTAGCTTAAAGAGTTATCTAGGTTATTTTTTTCCTCCTCCCTTTGGTGAAATACTCAGTGTCCGTCAACTCTGTATCGTTTTTGCGCTTTCGGCCAACGTTCGATGATCTAGATAATCCAGGAGGGGAGTCAATGAATAATAAAATGAGTGGAATGCTGGAGGGATGGCATTCCTTGAACAGAGGAAGAGTAGATCTGTCAGTGTGGCTTTGGGAATCCCAAGATCAGTGCAATACGCTTTCGGTAACTTGTAAGTTTTCAAATCCAAAGGTGCGGAAGATTTGTCAACATGAATACTCCGATACTCATAATTGAAATTAGTTTTGACCTTCAGCGAATGGACATTGTCATAGCCAGCCGCGAGCTCCTTCACTCTAGACCAAGCGACTCTTTTCCTGTTAACATCTAGTACCCGCTGCGGTTTTCCTACCAGGTCTCTAAAATCTAGAATGTTCTCTCGTTCAATTTCAGTCACGATATATCCACTATTAGCCCGTTTCGCTGTGAATATGATATCTCGCCATTGCTGTGGAGTATATATTTCTTTGCCAGTACTATTGGTCTCAATAGCGGCATGAAAATCTGTGGATGATTTTGACACCATATCGATGAGCAGCCAGAATGTGCATGGAGAAGAGAAAACGATTACGATTCTGCCCAGTCCAATTGTCAAAGTAGAATACGAAGTTTTTCACTCCATCCTTACTCTTCTTTTCAATAAAATCCACTACACAACTACCTATCTCGTTCACTACTCTCTTCATTTCCTGTCCACAAGTAGCAGTGTCCTTCATGCCGTCCGATGTCATATATCGTGAAATTGTAAACTTTGAGTTTACGTCGATAATAGAATAAATTACAATTCCCTTTAGGGGTTTGGAGTACTTTTTGCAGATCGAAACAAAACACACAGAGGGTACTATTCTCTTTCTTCTTCGCTTCCGTTGCATTACCTGTCTTTAATGCTCGAACCTTATTTTTGTTTGCTAGATGCAAATCATACTGCTCCTGTTTTTTCTGTTTATCTGTTGCACTTGAATTTTTATGATCTATACAAATGTCGCATTGGTCTTTTTTGGGTTTGAAAAAACCAATGTGGAACTCCGTATTGAATATATCGCGGTACTGTCTTTCTGTGACTGCTTTCGTGCCTGAATATTGCTCCCTCATCCAATCTTTAAATGCTGCGTGCATCCGTGCAATCGACAAGTTCTCCTCCAGGTACTCTCTCTGAGATTGATCTGGTCCACAACACTTTTCTTCAGCTCAGTACTGAATGTATATGTGCGCGGAAAGTTCCCCTTTCCTCTATTGTCAGTGAGAACACCAGCTCCTCCTTTTAATTTTTTCAAAACGGTCTCGAACCAACCATCACCAATCGCCAAAGTTTGGATGAACATTGTCTTACAAACTGCAATGTTAATCCCATTAACTTGAAAAAAGTATTTCCGGGATTTTTTTCGGCGTATCTCATTTATAGCGTTAGCTGTCTTATCCTGAACAATCACATGCCTTGTACTGTAATCGCACTGGCGGGCATGATCTCTAATTGACCAAAAAAGTGAAAAAATCTCTTGCCTCTGTTGTTTATCCAATTTAGTTTCACATTTGAAAGGCCACAGCGGACAACACGATGGTCCAAGCTCTCTTGCTGCAACAAATTTTTTCCCATCGCCAGTGAAATGTTCTAATCCCTGTTCATGAGCTGTTATAGAAGCCTTTGCCTTCCATTTGGATGGGTTCAAAGATCGTTTCCTTGTCATTTTTTCAGGGGCATTATACTCCCTCTTTCGTTGCACATGAGAATGTGGTAGATTCTCTTTATCACGAGATTTATCGGTATCCAGAGTGTTTTGTGCTATCATGGGTATAGAAGTAGCACTGCAACGAACTTCTTTTTCTTTTGTCCAGTAGATTCTGAGTCTTGATGCATAGATCCCAATGCACGAGTGATTGAGGGGACGCATTGCATGACGTAGATCGTTCGAGGTGATTCTAGAGAGCCCAATTCCACAGAAGAAATCAGCATCGACAGATCCTGAGGGCTTTGTTTCAACACATTTTGTTGCCTTTTTCCGACTGAGTTGGACGTGGCTTTTGAAGCGCAGGCGTCAGATCTCGGTTCTTGGGTCAGTGTCATCACCTCGAAGTCCATGTCATGCATAGTACTTGAAGCTATGGAATATATCACAATTGAAAAAGTTGAGCGATTAAATCCTACTACATTGAAATACCTCCTTCAATCTCTTTTTCGAATTCAAGAAATTCGGATGTTGAGATACTCTTCGGCTGGTACATCATAATGGTAATGAAGATGGGAATCTAAGAATTCATATAATCATATTAGGTGCCAATAAGCAGGCGCAGAGGTTGAATCAGTGATGAAATATTGGAAACCAATAAGACACCCTATCTTGCGATTGCTGCTTTCATGATTATCCCCAAATGTAAGCGAGACAGTCTGTTTTCCTTCAAGAACTTTTTTGCAGATCAGAACATCTAGAGCTGCTAAAAAAACTGTTTCAAAATTTTGGCTGTCTCTTAGATTCAGAGATGTTTGTCAACATTTCAACCCAGAGCTTAATCGACTCATCCCCATTCACTACTACGCCACAGACATATTTCGTAGTTCGTGAAAATCATATTCATGACGTCCTCAGACTGAGTAAAGTGGGGGTTGAGCAGGGGGAGATCGATTGTGCTATCACACTTCAAGTTCAAACCTTCATCGTCAGCCATAGTAGCATCCAGACACGAGTCCTTCCTCTGTACTCATTTTTTTTCATTTTCTGTTTGAATGGCTGTCAGTTCAAGCTATGTAATAAAGTATGCTGAACCAATAAGAGAATTAAATGTTTTACGGTCGCCTGACAGTCCTAATATAATATGGTGAGAGATAGACATGCAAATAGAAAATATTTTTAAGAAATTTAAACACAAGTTAGACAGCGTTTTGTGAGCCACCTCTTTTTTAATTCTCAACGAGATACGTGGATTCTAAACTTCGGCCTGGAATACTTGATTTCTGGAGAAGATTGAAATACGTTTTTTTAAACAAGACCTGAGTTACATCTTTCCTACAAGATCCTCTGAGTTACGTGTTTGCTCTTAGGGAACGTTGATATATGAACTCTTCATACACGAAACCCCCTCTCATACATATAATCACTCATAAATCTCTCCTCTCAATTAATTCAGCCCACCTTAAAAAATCCCCTTATATGGAACTCCTCCCCTCTCCACATCTGAAACTCCCGATATTTGGCCACACCTGCCTATGTATGGGGCACTTACGCCCTTTAAATACCTTCGCTGCAATTTTTTCGTTCAATCTGAAAATTTTGTTAAATTATGAAAAATTCAGCATTGGTTTTAAACAATAATTGTTCTTCGAAACAAACTTTGCCGAGTACTTTTGTTCGGTTTCTCACCGAATTGTTTTTTCCTCACTCACACCCACACTCACGCACACTCGCTCCTCTCGCATGCTTGCATGGCTTCCCACGACTGACCTGCGCAACCGACTTAAGTGACCAGTGGCCTCTCACGTCTGACACCTGAGGCGCCACTTGATGGACAGATGTCCAGTGAACGCCCCCATTTAAATTGGGGCACGTTTGGACCCTCGATGATCGACACCTGCCACCTTGGGGTCCTTTAATCGGCCTCATATGCATTTCGGCGATCGTACAGTGTACTTAGTCTTCTCCAAATTGTTCTCTTATTTGTATTGAGTTCCACGTATAATTGCTCTGCGCTTTAAGTTCTGTGAACTGCTTAATAATATTGTGACCCGCGCTAATATTCTTGATCTT